CACCTAGCTGAAATCCAGGGTCTCCTTAAACAACGATAGTCAAATTAATTATTTAATTTTGTCATTTATTATATTTTGGGTATACTTTGCATCTTTTTCCTATTTAATTTTTATTTTAACATACCTAAGCTTCTTAAAAACACTTCCATTTGCTGAATGTGTGTGAGCGCACAGCCTCTAGTTTCGTTTGCTTCTGTCAGAAATGTATTAGCTAGGTAAGATACGTTATTCCTATTGAACCTAAAAGAAAAACGGAATTAAAAAATGATCGAAAATGTATACCTTATTTTAAGTTACCGGAATATTTTATGATACAAAACATCATCATTGTAGTGTCTTCTTTCATTGTATATTTTTCTTCTGCGTATTTCATCCATATTCAAATAAAAGTAACTGTACCAATCTCAGAGAAGCTGCTGCTATACCAACTTCGCTAACGTCAAGCAAATACTAAATTTCTTCTTGAAATCGAAGTATCTACTGTAAGAAGTCGGTACTTCAAATTGCAGTAAATACTTTAGTCATTTTCACGAGAGTGCTACTTGGTGTAGTAGGTTCCGGAAAAATTAAAAGTATCTACTTTGAAATAGAGTTCCTTCTTAGTTTTGAAGTATATACTTTGTAAAAATGCTAATACTTCTAGTATTAGCACGTACTTCGGTTTTATTCATACCACCCATTGTATGATAGCCACACCAATTCACTTGGTGGAATGTGACGTCTTATCAGAGGGATTTAATTACAATGGCCTGCCTCAGCAGAACAAAGGTGGCAAACTTTGAATTTGCGGCCATTTTCTGCAACCTTAGTTTGCCCCGGACAATATACACAGTCACCCAATTTTTGGACGATGTTCTAGGAGCACTTTGAGAACATTAACTGACAACTCAATCGCCAAAATTCTACGTGTTGGCAAGGGAAGCAAAATTCACGAGCTCGATTACCTCTAACCACTTGAGCACAACTCCAAGGTTCTAGGGCCTATGAGTCAGTGCTGGATTCACTGGCATTATTTCACAACAAATGGATCGCTGAAATTGAACACCTTGGCAGGGAGATAGAAATTCGCGAGATACAATGATCATGACAGCATTTTATCCACATGGCTGGCTTTGCACTGGTCCTGGTCGAAATTTGGGGACCGTTTCCAATGTTTGGAAGGTATTCAAGACCTACACAGTTACCGCTCAACTTAACAGATCGCTTGAGAAATTGTCCCGGAGCCAGTTCCAAAAAAATCACCATTTTGACCTCTAAATGACCTTGAAATTTGGTTCTTCTGACGTGATAGGGCAAAACTAACACCGGGATTGGATTCAGGACGCCAAAATACCTAGGAATACCATGGTCTGGTCAAATAGTCCGGACTTTTTTTTTTGTAAACCTGTGTTTTTAACGACACATAAAAAAATGTTTCGAGTGAGACGTATGTGGAACATGTATATATTTAGTTTATCTTCTAAACATTTACAGAGGTGCTACAATAGGTTGTACAAAATAACCGGAAAGAGCCTGTAATAACTAGATAGGAAAGTCATGTGTTGGGACATATCAGATTTTTAATTAATATATCTTTTTGCCAAGGCACATACCCTGAAAACTCATTGTTGGACATCCCCATGTTTCGCCCTCACCTCACAGTGAGACAATTTTTTAATAAAAATATTTAGCTACACATTCGATTTAATGAAAAATATTGTTACTCAATGGGTATTTTTTTATTGTTTTTTTGCTCATGAAAACTTTAAAAATTACTGATTAAATAAAAAAATTGTTTCACTGTAGGGCAATTTCCCCTACGGGCCTGCCTGGTCAACTTTACAATGTGGCCGGGCCTTAAAAACTAGCAACACTGATATTATTCGTTTGCTGCTCTCTGCAGTTTTCACATGAATTGTGCAAAGCGTATTGGAAAACGTTCAGTGGCAGAAACTGTATATGGTTTTACTAATCAAGTTTAATATCAAAGGAATTTTTATTAGTTTGTTAAGATTTAGACAGCAGTTTAAATATTGATTGGTTTTAGATATAATTTAGAAAATAACAGAATATTTCCATATTATTGCCAATCCAAAATCAATCAATATTCCTTCTAAAGGTAACTTCAAAAATTCAAATGTATTATAAACTGAATATTTTTATTTAATCGAAATAAAAATAATTCATAATAAAGTATGAAAAATGTAATGAGAATATGAACGTTTTCATGCACTAATTGTAATGGAAATATGTACAAAACGAAAAATGAACAAATTTATCAACTAAGTTTAAAGAATGTTTTTTGGGTACATAGCTCTTCGTGGCAAATCAATATTTAAAATCAGAAATTAAACTCTCTCTCTAGAACAGTGTTTTATACACTCACCAGATCATTTTTTTCCAAGACCTATCATAATAAAATAATATACAGGGTGGCCACTTTTTTAATGGGATTGTATTAGTAATTTCGAAACCATACTAGTTAGAAAGTTGGTTAAATGGAAAAAAAGTTGCCTATTTACAAGTATAATCTACCGGTGGAAATTAATCCAAAATAGCAGGCCCGGTTCTTGAGATATTTCGAGAAAAGAAAATTCGATCTTTTCGGTTTTTTGGTTATCATTCATTTATTTTTAGAATTAGCAAAAAATATTTTAAAGGTTTTTTATTTGATAGTAAATTTTCTTTGATTTGAAGTTTTCATATTTTGCATCAAACGTTTCGTATTCTCCGGAACACCCTCAAGTTATTTTTTTTAAATATGGACCTGGATATTTTATAACATTATTTGAAATAACTTTTCATCCTGCATCCAGCGGTGTATTACACAATGGCATTCAATGACGGTTTTTGAGTAATATGGACCGTAATCCAAATTTTATTAAATTTACTGCTGGTTTCAGCCATCTTTAGTTGAATCGACATAATGTCATGCCTCTAGATAAAAAATAAAGTCAATTCTTACAAAATTTATGTAATTCTCCGAAAATCAAATAATTCATCAACAACAATAGTAATGTAGAAATTTTAAAACGCAATTACTGATAATAACAAGAAGAAATTCAGTTTTTGTAAGTCATAATCAAATTATTTGAAAAAATCAATAAAATTGAGTAACAGTGGCGGCTCGTGTGCACTAGCGGCAGTGGGGCACACACTGGAAAGGAATCCCGGGATTCGTTTTTCCCTTAGGTAAACAGGTGCTCCGCTTAATGAAAATTAAATATATTTCAGAACAATCAGTTGGGGCAATAACGATTTCTGAATGTGACTACAGGGAGCTAAATGTGACCACTCAAAATGCATTTAACTATGTATGTGGCTATTCAATCAAAAAATCATTACATATCCACTCTTGCGAAATTTACGTACATTTCTCAGAAGAATGCAATTTACTTAACAATTCTAACTTGTTAACGCATTTTAATGCATACGACTCTGAAGAAAAGGTGTTCGGCAATTTAAAATCTCCCAGCGAAAAATTTCTCTTTATTTTCAAATTAGAAAAAATATTCATATCTCTATTTGATAGTTTGTCAACTAAGCCTGGAATGTCCAACGCATACCTTTTTGAGATGAGCAAAATAGAATTTGGTCATCCCTGCTAACAATTTGCGAAAATGTACACCGTTAAATTATTTATAAGACTCAGAATTTTTTATACTCTTAAATATGCAAACAGAGATTTGAAATCCTCGAAAAAGTCAGATAAAACCAAAAGAAAAATTAAAATTTTGTCCCATCTTTATTTTCAGATGTACAACATCTACAAATTTATATCCCGTCATAATAAATTTCACAAATTCACAAGTTCGGCGATATTTTGTAACCTAGGCGGTCGGACTAAACGTTCTACAGTCGCAAGCTCTGCTGAAACTGGAGCCAACGCAATCGATCGTACTATTTCTTCCGCTGGATCTAGGAAAAAAGTGGTGGGAGCTCTAGGCTATTGCCACCGCGTACATTCGTATCTGGTGTAGGATAGTCTGGGACAGCGCCCTGCTTCTGACTTATAATCCATTCGAATGTGTTCATCTTTTGCTAAGCAATATTGTCGTCCTTGTTTTTCGCATCGTAATGAGAGAGAAAACAACAGAGGTACACATTTACTGTGCCCTTTGCCCATCTTCGGAACGTCGCTCAGTGTCGTGCCAACGCGGTTTGCGGTGAATATTAGATAAAATAATAATAGGCATTGAGGAAAATATAAAATATGTAAGTTATTTTTTTTGTTTATTATACTAGGGCACGTGCCCAAGTGCCCTTACGGGCAAACCGCCACTGTTGAGTGATTGTTTAAAATGTCCGCCATCTTCTTCAATACACTTGGCGATTCTGATTTCTTATGCTATTGCTTATTTCTTCTTGGATTCTTCAATTTATTTTTTCCTAATTAATCACTTTATGTTCGAAGTATTAAACACTGATTATAAAATCAATACAGATCCGTACCAATAAAATTTGGATTACGGTCCATATTAACCAAAAACCGTCATTGAATGCCACCGCTAGATGCAGAATGAAAAGATATTTCAAATAATGTTATAAAATATTCAGGTCCATATTTAAAAAAAATAAGTTGAGGGTGGCCCGGAGAATACGAAACGTTTGATGCAAAATATGAAAACGTCAAATCAAAGAAAATTTACTATCAAATAAAAAACCTTTTGAAGATTTTTTAGTAGTTCTGAAAATAAATGAACGATAACCAAAAAACCGAAAAGATTGAATTTCTTTTTATCGAAATATCTCAAGAACCGGGCCTGCTATTTTCGATTAATTTTCACCGTTAGAGTAGGCTTTGAGAATCGCAACTTTTTCTCCATTTAACCGACTTTCTAACTAGTATGGTTTGGGAATTACTAATACAATCCCATTAAAAAAGTGGCCACCCTGTATATGAAAGTTGGCTATACATTTTTTCTACTATAAGTTTTATCAAAAAAATTTATTCTTTATAAAAAATTCTGCATTGTCTAAAACCTACAATATCAAATTTTACAAGTCATATACGAGGTTTGTCAAAATTTAATGTACTTTACTTTTGCCCAAAAATAATTTTTTGACGCACCTCGTATACAACTTACAAAATTTAATATCTGACAGTTGAATTCCATGTTTTGGACTATGCAGAATTTTTTATAAAGAATACATTTTTTTGATAAAACTAATATTATAAAAGTTTTTTACATAAACTGTTTTCCACACACTAAAAATGTTTTTTATAACGAAAATACAATATTGTTTGTAACACCAAAAAAATAATAACTAATTCAGTTTTTTCAGGTGAGTGCAACATTTCAACTCTAACTGTACACATTCTAAATAAAGAACTATGATATTAATAAAAACACTCTTAAAAAAATCACAAAATAAACAAGTTACCTAAATACAATTAGGCATAAGTAATTATTATAAAATGAACAGTATTAACTCTTGCTCTCTTCAGAAGAAGGTGCAGCCCATGTTAACCTTTCTTCATAGAATTTTATAACAACTTGTGGACACTTCACGTTAGCTTGTTTAGCTGGTACTAGATCAGCCTCATCTGTGCCGACCCACTTCATTAAGAACATTAGGGGACCTAAAAAATAAAATGTTATTAATTTTTAATAAAAATTATTAAAAATTATTAAAAATGAATAAAGATGATTAAAAATGAATAAAAATAAATAAACATGAATAAAAATAAAAAAAAATGAATAAAAATTAAAAAAAAAATGAATAAATAAAATAAAATAAAAAATGAATGAAAATCAATAAAACTAATAAAAATTAATAAAAAAGGAAGTCATGAATTTTTTTATATTAATAACACGACTATATGCGAGCAAAGCCGCGGGCAATAGCTAGTTTTTATATAAAAATCTTAATTTTCTCGTATTTGGGGGTATCACCAAATAACATTTTTTTCTCAAAATAATTCACCCAATAACATGCCAACATTTTTATTTCAAATTTTTTTATTTTTTTTTTAAAGAGGGGAAAAGGACCTGGGGATCGAAATTGTTATAGTCTACCTTCATTAACTGTGTTTTATTTTATTTTTTTAATATAAAATATAAGGCAATGTATAAAAGGGGGTAAGGGGGAAACGAAATATACATTTTTGTATTTATCTTAAAAATCTATCAAAATTACTTAAAACATTTTTTTAAATTTTTTAATAAAATTATTATTTTTTAATTTTTGGGGGTTGGGTCAACTTCATATATCTTAAAATTTTCAGAATTCAATATCCTATAAACTGTGAATTTTGTTACATTAAAAAATATTAAGTTTACTCTTGGAGTATTTTTGGAAAAGGGGGAGATGTAGTGAACACCCTCAGCACTCTTAAATTTTGGTCCCAAATACTTTAACAAAACGATTTCATGTGAAAGTAATTTTTAGATTATACTTTTGTTTTCAAAAAAAGTTGGGAGAAGAAAGAAAATTTTGGTACCATATCGTTCGAATTTTAATTCCATAAAATACCCACACAATATTTAATTTTATTTCAAGTCACTCTTGGCGACTTTTCAAAAAAGTAGAGGGGGAAGCAGTGAATCTCAAAAACCTTCCCTTGTGGTCCCATTAACTATTCGCACAATATCCCAAAAATTTTTATTTTGAGTCCACCCTTGACGATTTTTTGAAAGGTACAGGGGACGAAATGGGTCAAACTTTGGTCCCACACATTAAGCGCACAATATAAATGTGAAATTTTTATTTTGAGGTCACTCTTGAGGCTTCCAAAAAAGGGGGAGGGGGAAGGTAGTACCAATCGCCTTACTACATTTGACCTCTGCTGACACTACGTCATAAAATACATCGAAAATAATTATAAACAAATAAAAAACAGACTCCATAAAAAATTTAGAGGGATCGAGGGAAGTTACCCCATAGCATTTTGTATTTTTTAATTATCTATACAACTCATTTCTGACAAGTTTCATCCCCTCCACACACTTTATAGAGGGGGGTAATAACTTGACCTCTTCCACTGAACATTTACTCAAGTCAATCGCATTTTGGTCATTGCCCTTCATAAAAACAAAAATTTGGAATTTTGAAAAAGGGGGGGATGTAATGAAATTCATTTCGAACGCTAAAAATTTTATACAGCCCAAAGGTGTGCACAACAGAGCCCGATTTCTGATTTTTTAAAGCTTTTTTTACTCCCCTCAAAAAAATGGGGGAATTTTTTAGTTTACTTTTTGGGCCCTCTATACAACCATATATACAAATTTAAAAGCCAAGGTTTTTCTTACGGCATTTGAAAACGGAAGGGGGAAAAATTTTTGTTTACCCTAGAGTACCAGAGATTTTTTTTTATTTGCAAGTAGGGGAAGAAAAAAAAGTTCGATTTGTCTTATATATTTTTTTTCTATCCATCCATATACTTTTTATCACGATTTATCCCATAAAAACCCAGCTCATGTTCACTATTGATGTATGGCGGGGGTGGAGTTGATTTTTTTTCATAACTTTCGATCCTATTGAATAATAAGTGACCAAGGTGTGATTATTGAGGAACACCATCTTGAAATGGCTAAACTAGTGATAATAATAATAATAAGAGTGAATTTTAGCTAAGCTTGTTCAGGGAAGAGACAGGTATTATTATTTGCCGTGGCGTTCCGGGGCGAATTAAAGATGATTGATGGTGCTATTTGACTTACAGATGAGGAAAACCCCACTCACCAACATTGGAACGGTAACGCATGGCGTTTTTTATTAATATGGATGTCATATCAACAGAAATTAAATTTCTGCTAATACAGCATCCATCAAATCCTATAACAAACCATGCAAATTAATTAAAAATTCACATGGTTTGCTATAAGATTCTATGCAGATATGTTTCTCAACCAAAAAATTGCTTGCAAATAAATGCAAAGTCTGAGGAGCATATCAGTTTTTTACTAATATATAGTGCCTATCATATGGGATTTTTTTTCTAAATGCTGTACATAAATTTGGACTAAAAATTTAAAAAAATAATATTATTTTTCAAAGTTTCTTAAAAAAATATCTAAAACAACATTTAATTCCACTGACCCATAACCAAATTGCCACCTGATTGGTCATTTGTCACTCATTATCATTCTTGAAGCAACAAAAGATGGTAAAATCAAAATTCATCTGCAGCATTTAGAAGAAAAAAAAAATCCTCTATGATGCTCCCTTTATGTGGGACCCTGTATTATAAAGATTTTCAAAAAAATTGCTTTGCTAGCTTCAAACGAGGCCAATAGAGCATCTTGGTTTTTTAAAGTTTTTTATTAAAACTATGCCACATTTTAGGTTCTTGAGATATAAGTTTTGAAAAAAATTGTTATTTTTTCCTAGCTTCAAACAAAGCCAGCAGCAGAGCACCAAGGTTTTTTCTGAAAACAACTCCACCACATTTTTAGGCTGGCTATTTTTAGACTCTTCAAATATATAAAAAATTCCAAAAAAAAAATTGTTCTTTTTAAGAAATTAAAGAACCATGAGAGCATATAGTTTTTTTAACAGCTGTCACATTTTTAGACCCTTCAAATATAAAACATTTCAAAAAAATTAAATAATAAAATTTATTAGCAACAATAATTTAACTCATTCTAGTTTAAAATATAAATATAATATGTTCAAGTTTGATTAAATAGGCAAAAAAATAAATTTACACAAGAATAAAAAAAATTAAAGATATATTTCTTATTAATCTCAGTTTGTTTTTCTTTACACTTCATGACAAGTTAAAGCTTTACTTGAGTTGTCACACCTTTTTAAAATAATTCGATCCTAATGTTGTTGAATCAAATAGAAATCCTTTAGGATTTCTTCAACAAATTCAGATCACAAATCTTATTTAATTTAAGTATTCAAATTCTCAAAGAAGGATTCGAATCTTCTCCAGCTCTAGTTAGGAGAGCAATTTTAGAAGCAGCTGCCCATGTATTTTTTCAATTTTTAATGTGTCAAATCTTATTCTTATGATTAAATTGTCTGTATAAACAGTTTTGTTTAGCACTTGGTAGGGTGCAATGCAAAACATTCTTCAAGAAGGTGCACTGCATCTATGAGAATAATATATGTCAAATTTTTTTATATGAAAACAAAATATAAGAAATAATTAACATAAAAAAACAATATAGATTAGAAAATTTGTATAAAATCAGCACAAAAGTAAACAAGCAAAATAGTGAAACTAGTAGAAAAATAGTGAGTGCAGATTTTGTGAGAAAGAAACCTTTATTATACTTGGAAGCATGTAGGGTAGAAGATCTGCATAACTTGGAGTCATTCCAAAGACAGGATCTTTATAGACACGAGACATTCCCTTGCTGCCTTAGCAAGAGGAGCTTACAGTAGATGGCTGTGTATTAATACCCCATACATTACAAAGCAAAGAAACCAAATCAGAGTCTGTATCAGCATCATGCCGGTGGGACTGGATACAGATTACTTTCAAAAGTTACTGTAAAGGTATGAAACTATGGGAAAGTTTTTAAAAACTCAAGAAAAAGTTAGATGCATGGGTGCAATAAACCTCTGAAAAAAAGAGTCACTATTCTGACCCACCAATTAACTGCCTATTCTGAATGTTATAAGTAGAGAATACAGGTATATACAGCATCTGTGAGTGTGGGACATTTGTTTTCCTAAAAAATTGCATGACAATCTATTAGATCATATGTGCTTGTCATAGGGTTAAATCTATGTCAATACTTAAAACTAAATCAGGCTGACTACATGCACTTTTACTTTAATAAAATGTATCGCAAAATAATATAAAAAAACTTTATGACCTGAACTATCTGTAGCACCAATAATTTTTTCAGGTTCCAACCCTCTGTCAAAGCCATGAATCTTTTTGTCATCTTTTCTTTTTGGAGTATCTTCTGCTTTCCGTTTCTTGCTGGTTTTTTCTTTTTCTTTTGCTGCTTTGTCGGCTTCATATGCTTTAATAAGGCTTGGGCAATCTAAATTTTCTTCTGGTTCCCAAGTGTTATCTTTATCATCATAACTAAAACTACATACTCTCAAGAAGGGAGGGAATGTTAAGTTTGTTTACTTACCCAATCCATTTTAGAAGATATTCTTTAATGCCATTATCATTTATCCTACTATCAATTATTTTCTCTACGATGTACTCTTCGCTTGCTTCTTCGGGTTCTGGTGAAGTTTTTTTGCTTTTACTCATTTTAAATCTATTATTGTTTGATTCTAACCTCTCAAGTTCCGCCTCGAAAACGGATTAAAAGTTCGCAGTTAAAATGAATAAAATTGTTTTTTTAATATTGCCGAGTTACAAAGAAAGTTGATATTATATTAAATAAACTATGCTACCTCAAAACTCACTAATAATAAATAAATAACAATCATTTGCCCCTCGTTGCGATAGTAATGGCGGTTTCTAAAACATATCTGCCGCCATTTCCAAATCCATAACAACAAAACCACAGAACATTCAGAACAAGATAGAAAACGCGCTTTAAAGTTTAATCTTTTTCTCAAGAGATGGCAAAAGAGGCGTTAGCTGGGGTGCGTTCAGAAATAAAGAGCGTCAAATTTTCAATCGTCCAGACAAAATTGGCAGTGGCTAGGTAGCCGGTACTGGCGACTTCTTTCGTAGCCGGTAGTCCCCAGGATTGGTCAAAATTCGGTGGGCGGAACTACCTGTTAGGAACTTCCTTGCCGGTAATAAGCTTTCTATATCCTTATTTTTGATAATGATACACGAAAATAGTTACAACTCTGTAATATTAAAAACATAAGTTGCAGACTATTATTTTTTTCATTTGTTTTTTAACCTCGTGATTAATTTAACCTACTTTTCTATTATGACTTTATTGATACAACATGAAAATAGGAAAATACACTTTAAAACATCCCGAATCCCGATCCGCCCTGTGCTCTAACAGCCGTATGCATAGTCGATCGCCAGCGACTCGCCAGAGATTCATTCCGGCGTTTCGCCAGCGATTCGCTGGCGATCCGCTGGCGAAAGCCCAAAAAGGTGGCGTCTCGCCGGAGATTGTCACCGAAATGTCATTTCACGCAAGTTTTTATTTTCTTTTATAGGGATTATCACCGGTATCTCTCGCATTTTATTCATGATTCATTTCTTAAAACTCAAAAAATAATGAACGAATATCAAATTTTTCCCTATAAAAGAACATAAAAACTTTTTTTTGGGCTTTCGCCGGCGGATCGCCAGCGAATCGTTGGCGAGTCGCTGGCGATCGACTGTGCATACGGCTGTAAGTGATCCGCTGTTTTACTGAACGCAGCCAGAGAGACTGATTAATTTGTCAATTGTCATGTCATTCAACGACGTTCTGTTCGGTTCTGTCTTTTGTCATTTCCAAATAAAAAAGGTTTAGGCGTCCTTTCCTTTACAAGAATAAAATTTAAGTTTAAATTAGTTTGTCTGTTTATAAATTAGTTGTTTGCATATTTGTATACTAAACAGAAATTGCTGGTTCAATAATAATCGTTACTTTTTTTACAGTAAGTGAGCAAAAATGCTTTATTTTTGCGGCATTGTATTTTTTAACCTAAAAATTTAAGGCTTTTCAACTTTTTTCATGTTTTTAGGAATTAACATAATCCTTGACAAATAAGATGAGTAAGCGAAATAGTCCCTTACCTGAAGCTGAACCTGTTGCCCCCGAAGAGTACGTCGTAGAAAAAATTATAGATAGTCGTATTAATGAAAAAGGAATAAAGGAATACTTTTTGAAATGGATTGGGTACGATGAAAAAGATAATACATGGGAACCGGAGGAAAATTTAGACTGTCCGGGACTTATTGAAGCGTTTGAAAAAGAAAAGTCTAGAAAAGACAAGGAAGTAGAAAGAAAACGTAAATTAAGTACACCAACAGATGGTAAACCAGCTAAGAAAAAGAACGATGACAAAAAATCTTTGGGATTTGATAGGGGATTGGAACCTGAAAAAATCATAGGCGCAACTGATAGTCCAGGTAAACACTATTTAGATTTGATTCAGACTTAAATTTATCTAACATTGTATTATAAATACAAGCATTTGTAGAAAGTATATCTATAAAACCTACTTACTAGTCAAGAAGTTTTTCAAACTTTCTAGCCTTAGGGTATGTGCATGCCAAAGATGCCTTGATGACCAATGATCATTGACAGATAGGCAATGTAATAACAAATGTACTTTAAATGAGAGTGAACAAACCAAAGATTAGCGCACCCTCGCATCATAACATTGTATTACATTGATTAACATTCACTTAACTGTCGCCTATCAGGAATGGAAACACCTAAGAATTCAAAAATATATATGTTTTTTAAGGTTTTGTAGGTTTTTAGTTCATAATATGTCAAAAATTATTGTCACTATCATTAATATCAATATCAAGAAGTGATTATAACCATTGATGAAATGTTTGCATTTGTTTTTATATACACCTATTTTTGTACCCTTTCTCCTGAGAGTTGATTAGTAAAATTGTGAATTCTAAATATTTATCATAAATAACCTAAAAAACCTAAAATTGCAGATTTTTGACTCTTAGGTTTTTTAAAAAACTTATAAAATCTAGGTCCAAAAAAATCTGTGCTGGCCAACTGTGTTGCCTATAGGTCATTAATCATTTAGGCATCTTCAGCATGTACACACCCTTAGGATGTTATTATCATTTTGTGTTTAGTTTTATACAACTTATCACAGCTGTCGTGGGCCAGATTGATGACACTGGTTGGCCAGATTTGGTCCTCTAGTTTGGAGACCCTGTTTTAGAGGATTAATCACACTGGTTAACAAGGTTTTTATCACAGGCATATAAATTCCCAGCTTTTTTTGAAATGCTCTGTAATTGACAGTGAATATCTCTGTTTATTTGTTATTTTTTTTTTTTAATCACCATTTATGTGGATAAATACAACAATTGGATACTAATTACTTGAAAATTTACAAACATTTACAACATAGTTCACTGAATCACTCAGAGGCCACAGTGACAGCCTCCATCCTCCATCTATATTGATTTAAATTCCTCTAAGCTATATAGGCAATTATTGGATAACATTTGTTTTAATGCATGTTTAAATTTATCTATAGGCTGATTTATAAAATTAAGTGGTAGTATATTGTATAGCTCAATATAATATTTCTTTGTCCTTTCCAGTCTATACTGGATAGGGACTAAGTTACCTTTGTGCCTTGTATTATAGTTATGGATATCTGAGTGGGAAAAAATGTGTTAATATTATTTCTTACGAATAGAAGGTTTTTATAGATTATTACTGCATAGAGTGTCATAATTTTAAGTTCTGAAAATACTGGTCTACAACTGGCTTACCAAGAAATGTGTTATTGCTCTTATGGCTGATTTTTGCAAAATAAAGACTCTTGAGATATGTGTGTCAGCAGCATTGTCCCGTATGTCTAATGACTATGAAATAGAGCATAGTAAGCAGTAATTGCTGCATCTTGACCACATATTTGGAGTATTTGATAATTTGGAACAAAGTGCTTCAATATGATCTGTCCATCTGAGATGTGGATCAATTTAAATGCCAAATGTTTTAACAGAATTGTTATTAACTTGTTCACTATTTACTGTAAATAATTGGGAGATAGTTTTTGTGTCATTTAAAAACAGGTTGTTTACAGAAAACCACCTCTTTGCCTGAATCATGACATAAGAGTAAACTTGATCATGATCTTCCTCTTTTAGTATTAATACAAAAAGAAGTATCATCAGCAAATATACATGTGATAAGGTTTTTAAAATGCATATGGTGTACATTGTCAAAATTATCTACCAACAACCATCACTTTACCCAGCAGCTCTCCTGTACAATGATGAAATCCTAAACATAAGAACACTCTACTTATACTTATTGTATTTTTATACATGACATGCCACCAGTCAATGTTTTGTAACCACAGTTGCTCCCAAATTTTTTTAATAAACTACTGATAAACTTAAAAAATATAACCAAATTACATATATTTTGACTTAAAGCTAAACATGATGTTACTGTAAACTTAGATTTATTTAAGGAGATTTTATAAATTGACATACACATCCACCCACATTGGAATAAAAAGTTTTCTTTTATCGTCACAACACGTTTTGTAAGTGTATACTTCAGTTTAGTTTATTTGTATGCTATAGCACACTCAGGTGGACACACCTAGGTGCTTATTTTTCATTCTTTAAGTTATTATTAAGTAACTAACTGTCAAATATAAAATTTATGTAAATCTTAAATAAATAAATTAATTATTACAGTTAATTCAATTTAAGCATTTTTGGACATGTGTTGTCTTTAAAAAAAAGTCTTCAATTGTTCAATGAAGTAAAGTCACCATTTTTGAAATCATAATACAGTACATTATATTTTAATGCTTGTAGGTACACATTTATCAAACTTCAATTCAAAACTATATGAAAAGTGATGTACTAAATTTTGTAAAACATGATTCTTTGAGTTGGTACATTACACACACTCATTACAATGAGTGAAACCTTCTAAACATACACCAAGATCATTTGGTTACTTGATGCATATTTAACAAAGTAAAGTACTCATGCACAACATTAGCAGATTAATTATGCCGATAATCTACCTGGTATTTACCACCCATATTGCACCATACTGTTTCAGGTAGAATATAATAACAAATTTAAAATTTTGATTCTTGAAATTTAACAAATAACTGTTCTACGGTCTCTGTATGATCTAAGTAATAATAATCATCGTTATATCAGAAAATGCTAATACTTTTTACCTATAGAAAAAAAAATATATCAACATATAGTAAAATGATGTCATATACAAAAATAATTAAAAATATATAGATTCCAATAAATTACAAACAGACTTACAATTAAAACTGATTATTTAAAAAATCATTAACACTAAAGGGTTCTAAGTTTTTAATTTCTTTTTTGAACTTATTAATACTTGTACAATTTACATATGTAAACTGCATAAAATGTCATAACTTTATTTTCCTTAAATATTGTCTTACATGAGTCCCTGAAATACATTTTATTAATTATTCTAATAACTCTTTTTTGGATAATAAATATTTTTTCAGCAGTGAAATTAGAGCTTCAAAAAGTGATTCCATATCTAAGAACAGACTCGGAACTAGGAAAGTAGATAGACCACCATTTTTTTTTTTATATTTACTATTTGTTTTTATTCCATGTGATATTTTGCTCAATTTAAAAGCTATTTTTTCTATATGTTTCTACCAACATAGGAATTCATCAATGTAAATATCCAAAAACTTTGCATTTGTACTTAGTTCAATACATGCATCATCTAACTTTATAATACGTGGCCTTTCATTACCTAATAGATAATTGCTTTAGTTTTTGTTTCAGTTAAAATAAGATTGTTTTATGTGAACCAATTTTTTTACTTTATAGAATAGATTAGTGCAGTTGATAAGTAGCTCAGGGAATGTCTCCCCACCTGTCAAAAGATTAGTATCATCAGCATAAACGGTTATAGATTGTGATATATTTAAATTAGATTTACATAGGTCATTCATAAATATGACAAACATCAATAGATCTGTAATATCCCATTTAATATGTTGAAATTCTATACTTATATGGATCCTTTGTTGCCTATCTGTTAAGTAAGACTGAAACCACTTCAGTGCTTTATCTCTTATGTCATACTTATCTTTTGTTTTGTCAACAGAATGTTATGGTCTAGACAATCATAGGCATTTTGAAAAATTAAAAAACATTCCCAGAGCTAGATATTTTTGTTCCATTGATTTTATTATGTGTTGAGTATACTGGAATATAGCTGATTGTGTAGATTTATTTTTTAAATGTCCATGTTGGTTATTTCTAAAATAATTACAGCTATGGAAAAAATTAACAACATTGTTACACATGGCTGTTTGAAATATTTTGTAGAAACTAGAAACTGCTATAAATAATACATTCTCACAACTTGTTATTTTTGTTAATAAGCTTCTAATTTATTAAAAAATATATTGAGGGATCCCCCACTAGGTATATATAAAATTTTCACATTAGATAGAATAACTTCAATACCTGAGCACTCGAAATCGCCTATCACTGAGAAAGTTGATATATACTTTAAAGACCTATATTTTATTTTACTTTTACAATAAATGGCACATCCTCCATTTTAATTTCGCTTTCCTCTTGAAATTTGTTGATTTTCAGAAGATCCTTCTCACATAGGTAACATTTTTATGGAAACTCTTCTTGAGAATGATGATAATGACTGCATTTTTGAAAATTAAATCATTGATATGTAACTGATGTTGATTTTTGTATTTATAGTCTATGCCAAACATGAAGCATTTATTCTGATTTTCTGCAGTTGAAGCTCTGTAACAGTTATATCTGTTTCTTGATTTTGTATGTGATTCTGTATCTTAGTTGTTGGTAACATGCGTCTTTATACCGTACAAGTATAGCCAAATTTTTCTTGGTACACCAAAATCATCAGATGTTTCATTTTGGCCAAAAGTAATAATATAATTTTTCTATTGTTGTATGTCACAGGAATAAATTCATCATTATTTTCATTTACTTGTGTTAGATGAAAGAATTCATTTATTTGTGACAATATTAAATATTACAGTAATTAAATATGAACGGCTCCCTATATTCGGAAAATTTATTAAAAATAAATTGTTAGAACTGAAAACTATTTAAATATTGACGGATCCCTATATCCGAAAAATTTTGAAAAATAAATTATTGCAATTGAAAATTATTTAAATATTGACGGATCCCTATATCCGGAAAATTCATGTAAAATAAATTATTATAATTGGAAATTATTTAAATATAGGGAAATGTTTATGGTTCATTGGCGCAGAAGGCTAAGCGGTCTGGGAATTATGAAACGCCCAGTATACGGAAAATTTATTCTAAATAAAATACTACAATGGAAAACTATTTAAACAAAGGGGAATGTTTATGGTTCATTAGCGCAGGAGGCTAATCGGTCTGGGAATTATGAAACGCCCGGTATACGGAAAATTTATTAAAAATAAAGTTTGTTATTATCACCATTAATCCACTTTCAATTTACGTTCAAAAAAAGGAAAACCTACTATACAATGAAACTAGTGGGAAATATGGTTATTTATGCGGTGTTTTGGACGGCGGAGACGACGATCGTAGAAAATAATATTTTGAAATTTGCCCAGAGTCGATCGAGAGCGTGTGTGAATTTAATTTTACAGAGGTCGTCTGGCTTAATTAAATAACTAATTGTGGACGGGGAACGGAATGATTTAAATACAGCTGAATAAAAAAAAATTACACGAAGTGAGGCGCGGAAATTAATTTAAACGTCTTTTGGGAAATTAGATAACGTCATCAGGAGAGAGAGAGCACTCTAACCCGGGAACCGATCGCACCTCCAAAAAAGCAAATAAAATAATAAAAAAAATTGAAAACAGGTTGAACCTCTCACTTCGATGTTAACTTGGCGGTTTTTAAGAGAAATTGGATATAGTCGTTGACAAAGATCCATATCCTGGATATGAATCAAAATTTTTCACTTGTCGCACGGGTGTCCCAACTAATTATATAAAAGTCAATATAAAAATAATATACGGTTCCTACCTTAGAAGATAAACGGGGTTATTCAATGAACTTTTTCGAAATCACGGCACTCACGGAGTATTTACTAGGCACTATAGAAGGGCGAATAGTCTTCGGCTGTCGGCAATCAAGAGTGTAGAGCTTACGGCGGCCGGTAAGCAAGAGGGCGTAATTCCCAGATGTCATTGAATTTATGCTTTTCGGTAAGCCCGAGTGGGTGATACCACTACTACAGCCGACTGTTTACAATTTAAAAATAAAAAGAATGTCCTTCTAGTACCTTGACAAATAAAGGTAGATAATCGGTACGAAATCGATTCTACAAAATACCCATTCGGATTTCGGCAAATATAGGAATATTTTAACCTACGAGGGTATTCGCAATTGTTGAAAAACGGTAATTCCTGGAAACAAATACATCTTCTACATGTCCTCAGGCGGGAATTAATTAAAATATACATTTTTAAATTAATTGAGAGCAAAATTTAGTGACTTCATCACAAGTGCAATCGAGAAAATGAATAAAATACTGGAGAAAGTTGCCCAGTATTTTCAACTTAACAAATTGAAATTGAATGTAACTAAAACAAAAGCACTTATTTTTACAACTAAACATAAATATAGCTTACTTGATATCAATGATGTTAATTTACAAATAAATGGTGAAAACATCGCAATAGTCCCAACTATTAAGTATTTAGGTATCCAATTAGATAATCAACTTACTTTTAATGATTTCTTTAATTATAATAATAAAAAAAAATTGAAAAAATTATATTTCTTCTCTAGAATTTCAAATAACTTGTCAACTTCAACTAAAATAATAGTATATAATACAATTATTCAGCCTCACTTCGATTATTGTGCCTCCATTCTTTATTTATTTAATCTCAACAAGTTAAATCAACTTCAAAAACTACAAAAAACTAATCGTCTTACACCAATTGCCACAATGTTAAATTCTCTTCAATGGTTTTCGATTCAGCAAAGGTTGTACTACTTGGCAAATATATTTATTTATAAAATAATTCATTCTTTGCCTCCATCCTACTTTCATCAATTCATTTGTTATCATGGCTCATTGTCTTTATTTAGTTTTTCTTTTAAAAGAGTAGCATTAGATTTAAGTAATTGTTTTCTAATAAAAGATTACATTTTTCTTCAAACACTTTCTTTACTTTCAATTGAAATTGGATCGATTGCATTGTTGGCAAATGATTATTGTATCACAAATTTCTTTGCACTTAATTTTGTTTTTCACTGCACAAGATGTTGAACTTGGAGGAAAATAAACAGAACCAATTACATAATTCTCCGTATAAAGGTTAATACAAATAAATATTTCATTGTAGACTGCTTTCAAATGATCACCTACTTTTAAATTTCAATATATAGAAACAACATTTAGGTTGGATGTTTAAAGGATCAAATTGTTTAAATCTATAGTCAGTTTTCACAAAAACAAACATTTTCCGCCTTGTTCTATTTGTAAACAGGGTTTTGTCCCAACCACCTAGAATAATGTTAATGTTTTTTTAATATCTCGTTTTTTCTGGGATTTATAGGACAACTGATGTTTTTAATCAAATGGACCGGTACAGACGAAGCTGACCTTGTACCTGCAAAACAGGCGAATGTAAGGTGTCCCCAGGTCGTGATCAAATTTTATGAAGAGCGATTAAAATGGCATTCACCGAATCTAGAAGAAGCTAAAGCTGCAGAATAACTTTTATTTCGTTTGGCATTAAAACTGTTTTAGATAAGTAGACACAACCATTCTTAAATGTTTATTTTTAAACAAATTTTCGAATTGAAAATGAATTTCAAGGAAATATATTTGAATGTTGAGAAATTTGATTTTGATCTCGTACAAAAAGTATTTAGCTTTTTTATTTTTAAATTCAGTATGAAAAATGTATGCCACTGCAAATATATTTCCTTGTGATGTGTAATTTACTAATGTAAATGATTATTTTTAGTAATTAATTTTTCCTTATTTTTTTACCATTAAATTAGTTATTGCTTTGGTTATTGCTAAAAATAACTGTTCATGTTTAATAAGGGCAATTCACTAGTAATGTTAAGTTGTAAAAAGTAGTAGGTAAGTTTAATAACAAGTATTTTTATTTGTCTAAACAACAAACACGTTTTCAATTTTCAATAATAATAAAAAAAGAAATATTTTTAAATTTTTTAAAATCTGTTTATTTTTGGCAATAAAATAGGTAATTTCGATTCGAATGGAATTTATTTTATGGTATGAATTGATGACTGATTTCAAAATTGTTTTTTTTTTTCTAAAGGTGTAAATATAACAATACAAATTTATAAATTTGTTTTTATGAAAACTAGTTTTCATTACTTTGTGAAATATAAAATGAGAAAAGAAAATAAAATTTCACATAATTAATACTGTTTGATTTACAAAGGAATGGAAACATTATATAAAATGCATATATTTATGGATATGATTAGTCAAGAGAACAAGAAAAATATTTAAACTCTTTAGAAAATTCAAAAATTGATCTTCAATAAAAAACATAATTACTCAATCTTCAACATTTCTAGCTATCCAAAGTAAGTGTTTTTGGGTGATACATTAGGTACATTACATGCACAGGGCGTTATTATATTCTGTCCCTTTACATACTAAACTGTTAATGTAGTTTGTCAAATATTTTGTTCCAATTATTCGTTTAAGATGTTTCCACATTAACTTTGGATTTCCCTTGTTTTTATCTATATTTATTTCATTAAAATTACGTTTGGCTTACCTCAACCTCCGACCACATTTATGTCTTGCTCCCCTTCTTCGTCCGATATTGTACAATATTCGCATGCACCGCACCAGTGGCGACGCAATATACGGGGTACCAGTGCATGTTTAGGAGTTTTGGAGGTTCTAATTCCCTTTTCATCCTTTTCCTTGTGAAAAGGACAATTTCTGTCTTCTTAGGATTGATAGACAGTGAATGGTCTTTGCACCATTGTTCTATAATTTTTAGAGATACTTACATTCTTTCACAAAGTATGTTCTCAAAATTCCCTGTTTGCAGAATGACCAGGTCATCTGCATATGCTATTGTGTAGTGACTCTCATTATTTAGGCGGCTGATGAGGGTGTCGAGGACCATATTTCACAGTACAGGTCATAGCACCCCATAATGTTGCCGTAACCACCCTTTTGTGCTGCAAGTTATATTGTATGATAGTTACCTCTTTTATTGCTTCCCGGTCTTCCGTTAAAAATTGGGTAGGGTGGTTTTTTTATTCGATCATCCCTTCCTCCGAAAGTGAGAAAGGGGTGATCTCTTGTGGCTCCTCGGAGTCTTCACTGGGCCCCGCTCCAGCCTCTTTTTCAACCTTCGGCCGTATAGTCAATGAGGTGAACGCATAGCTCTTCTTCATTGATTTGGCCTTTTGGGTTCCCATGTCTTCGTCTCTAATGCCGAAGACGAAGAGATGGCCCTTGGTGTCTTTTTTTATTGCATGATAGAAGGTGCACCATTTCGCCAAGTTTGGGTTTTGCCCCTCAAGTCGCCTGAGCACAACCATCTCGTCCAGGTCAGCTTGCGCTTCCCCTGGGATCCAGAGAGAGGCTTTGGTGAGCTTGGGGAGTGTTGCTCCTTCCCATGTTTTTAAGGTTGGCACCTTGGTTTTTAGCCATTCCAACGTCAGGTCGCACATTACTCTGATGATTTCATCAGAGTGCGTCCAAGACCTGATAAGGTGGGTAGCTTGATTTTGCTGCAGGAAAGGGACAAAATTGTTTTGTCCAGCTCTCCCATCAATGTATTTTTGACAAGGATTTCTCTTTCGGTAGTTATCTTACCGTAAGGGTTATCCTTGAATATTATAGCTACTTTCAGCTTATCCCAGACAGAACCTTGTGGTCCTGTCTGGGTTTTCTCCCCTTCCGGGGCGTTACCCGCGGCCTTTTTTTGTCTCTTATTGCGTCGTGTTCCTGGCCTCTTGTGGAGGTAGAACTATCGTCGCTGCCTAAGGACTTTTAAGCCGTTTTTGTTTTGTTGACTTGATTAAGCCGCTTTTGTTTTGTTTGCAGTGAGAGAGTTTGCTGAGGGTGGCGGTTGTCATAGCACTGCCTGTCTGTAGCTTATCCCTCTTCCTCCTCTTTGCTTCAGACCCAGAGATTCTCTTGCCTCTCCCGGGCCTGTTAGTTGGAGGTGAATTACTGTGTCCATTCTCCTTTTTTTGAAGGTGGGCGTCGCTCTCCAGCCTCCTGTGCAGAAGATAAACTTTGTTGTCCAGGCTCCTTTGCAGGAAGTGAGCGTTGACGTCCATCCTCCTTTTTTTGAGGTGATCGTCGCTGTCCAGCCTCCTGCGCCTGAGTTGGACTTAGTCGTCCAGTCTCCTTTGCTGGAGTCGTCGAGTCTCCTTTGCTGGAGGTGAGCGTTGACGTCTAGCCTCTTCGGGTTTTTGTATTGTTGAATCCAGATGGTTCCCACGAGTAGCTAGGGAGGGAAAGATCGACCGACGCAGAGCCTCGCATGCGCCGGCAAGGCTAGATACAAAAGGGTGGCGCCAGATTCCTTCAGGGGAGCGTTGGCTGCCGCATCTGCCCCTGCGACCTTTCATCCGTCGATACGTTACCTTACACCTTAGATTAGGGGAGTTGGTTCGTGGCGGTAGCCTTCGCAAAAGATTTTGAGAGTTTTTAGGCTCTCGCACTCTACTTATGTCTACCACTAACCAAGGAAAACTTGGCCGTTCTCCTATCCACCACCCGGAGACGCGCTCAGTTGACACTCAACCGCTGAGATGCCGATCTATTAAGGCGAAATAATCGAAATTTGTATGAGCACGAATTATTTTTTTGCCTAGACTCTTAAACAAAAAAGTTCAATGTATGATGGAAATCAATCTACTACGGGTGTAATACATCACTCACTTCGGCCTTATCTATATATTTTTTTAAACAAATTTGTTCTATTACGATTTTTCATAACATATTTTACATAAATAAAATGTAGGTACCCACCTACATCAACTTTGTATTTATTTAGGCAGTGTGATCAATATCGTTTTATTATAGCTGATGTTCTATTCCATTCTAATTTTAAGCTGAAAGCTTTTTGATTGATTGATTGGATATATAACGTTGCAGTGTAAAGCTTGCCATAAATAGCGGGAAAATGTGAAAAATAATTTCGCTTAAGATTCTTTTGACTACACTTTTGCTTGTTTTCCTTGAACGAGTTCAAAAAAAAAAGAATAGGGCGTGTTTGTTATAAAAATGTTTTTTTAAATTATGAAAAAGTTTCCACGAAAAAGTTATATAGTTTTATCATTATTATTTATGTGGTGTCCCTTATAATGAAATGATAAAATAATATTCTTTGACGTCAAATTATTACCTACCATGAAATAAAAAAAAAAAAAAAAAACAATTCCAGCCAAATCGTTTTGAAGCTAAGAATCTACAATTGTATGTGCCATTTACTTATGAACCACACTGTATTTGATATGGGTTGATACTGGTAAATCAGCCTTTAACAATGGTAATAACTTGATAATGGTGTGGTGAGGTGATATAAAAATGTACCAACAATAATTATTGACATCAATTCAATTAAAAAAAATTCACACAAACTTTTAATACACATAAAAAATACTTGTGGCACTCGGGGACTGCCGTGGTAAAGCTATTGCATAGCATTTTTTATCAGTTAGGTTATTCAGGAATTTTTATCATTGAAACTATAGATTTATGGTAACTGAAATAAGAAACATAAGTTTGAGACTTGATATCCTCTAAATATCTGGAGAATACCGCGTCAATGGTGGTCCCATATTTTGTTGTGGATTCTTGTGGATCATTATTCATTTTCAAATTCAATTTTTCCAAAATTGTGTCCAAAAGATAGAATCAGTTAGCAGCTATTTCGATTTTTCTATTTTTCTACTGTTCTATTTTTCTATTGTTCTATTTTTCTAGTTTTCGATTTTTCGATTTTCGATCTTTTGATTTTTTGATTTTTCGACTTTTAGATTTTTATATTTTTTCGATTTTTCGATTTTTTATTTTTCGATTTTCTTTTATTGAATAAATATGTTAGTTAATATTGTTATCTTATGTTGCAGTACGCAAATCACATGACTCCCTCACTCATAGGCTCTTTTCAAATTTCTCATATGGAAAACTTCACCTCCCATTTCATGAAAGAAACAGACGATACCTCAATTCCATTCACCTCAAAAATCCTCAAGTATATCCTCTAGCTATTCCCTCACCTTCACCGTGGCTAACTCCTTCTGTAAATATAACACCCAACTACTTTCCTTCAACAAAACAAATACCAATCCCTTATTAATCCGAAATGCGTTCCAAAATATTATTTCTGGTTATCACAACTGTCAAGCAATTTATACTGACGCATCTAAAACAACGACATCAACCACCGCAGCGTTAGTATGAAGAAATTCAAACATTTAAATTAAATAACTTAAGCACAATTCTCTCTGGCGAGTTACATGCCATCTACAGATCACTTCTCTATGCCGAAACATCTTTAAATCAATTTGTAATCATTACTGATTCCATTAACTCTCTTCATGTCATAAGTATCTCAATTAATCCATAGCCAAACTAATCAAACAAGAAATTAACCTTCTAAAGCCCAAAACAATAAACTTCCTCTGGGTTCCTTTACAAATAGGCATCAAAGGCAATGAACCAGCTGACAAGTATGCAAAACACGCCACAGA